AGTGCAAGGTCTGCTGGCTGGGTGCTGGCAGGCTTGCACCTGGCACGGGCATCGTAGCCAGCCCGTGCCCCTTTAAGGGGCCCGGGGCTGGGAGGGGGGCAGTAGAGTTTCCCTGGTGTTGGCCAGAGTGGCCACCAGGGAAACCTGGAGAGGGCTAGCCTCCCACTAGTTCGAACTAGGCTTAATCCTCGTGGAATGAGGATTACCTAGTTTGAACTAAGCGCTCCGTTAGTTCGAATTAAATTCGAACTAACGGAGCGCTAGTGTAGTGCCTATGAAAGTTAGTTCGAACTAACGTCCGTTAGTTCAAAGTGACTTTGTAGTGTAGACATACCCTCAGGGAGCCATTCTACTCTTTGGTTGCAATGATGGATTAGGCATGAGCTGTTAGCCAAAGAAACTGAAAGAGCCCATCAAACTACAAAACCCACCCTTGGAAGACCTACATTTTGAATATCACTTGATATGCCAAAGGAGATAAGGGGAAAGCTGTTAATAAACAGCCCAGTTAATCAGAAGAAGAACTTGGGTCATCTGAAGAAGTGGGCTGTGCCCACGAAAGCTCATGATACCATTTACATGTTTTGTTAGTCTTTAAAGTGCTGCAAGACTATTGGTTGTTTTTTAAATTTAGCCCTGTTAATTGTAAGCTAAGGTAACTTCCTTACTCTTTGAAGTTTCCATTATTGTTGTTATTTGCAGCATGAGCTAGTTGCTTTTCAAACTCTCCATGTGCCAGCAACCTGCAGCTAAGCCAGTTACTCAGCTGAGCTGCCTCCTTTCAGCCGCATGCCAACTGAGTAGATCAGCAAGAGACCTGGACTCTGCAACAACCAGCTGACAATTAGCTGTAAGGGAACTTCTGGTGGCCTCATACTGATGGCAGTCCCCCTTTCTCCTGTAAATCAGCTCATACTGAAAGCTGTGGAGGACTGGGTTTTAGTTTTTGTAAGCTCTAAAGATCAGTCAAAAGTGACAGTAGATGGGAGCAGAGCTGTAACATTTTAATTGAAAAAAATTCACAATGACAAACTTTCAATCCAATTTACACTTAGCAAACAAAGCTTTTTTTTTTTTTTCCAATCAAAGAAGGTAGAAGCAGACGCACTGAGATGCCAAAAATCAAGGGGGAGACAGAACTACAAGTTTCATGGGTACAAAGGCCAGGCTGGCCTACAGGCCAATCTCCTAATTAAACAAGGATTTGAAAAGGTTATTAGAATTACAAAAATATTGTAGCCATTAATGGAGACACGGTAGAGCAGACAGCTTCATCTCCGACACAATTACTTCTGCCAGTGTTACAAGTGGAAATGGACCTGAGGCATGGAATTCAGAAACACTGTTTGAACTCTCCCAGGGCTTAGGAGGTGGAGAGGCCTGTCAGATCACCTCTTATGTGCCAGCCACTTGTCTAGTTAGGAGGCTTTTGAATATTATTTAAATAAAAAACACCAGAAGGGCTAATCAGAACAAAATGTTCTTTCATCAACTGATAGTGTGAAGGCTTTTGACCAAGCAAATTAATCTTTTTTTTTTCATTTCAGTCATAGGAAGAATTTACGCTATAGCTTACAGTGCTATTCGATAACTCTGAAGCTCATTTTAGAGTCAAAGGCTGTAATCTGAGCTCCCTTAACTTAAAAAGGGGCACATTGCAGGAGGGAGGCTTTCTTGTTTTCCTCCTATTTCCTCTATCATTAGAAATATGTACTGGCCACCAGTGAAAGAATGAATGTATGAAAGTCTGAAAAACAGTGAAATACCTTTCATAAAATTTCACCCAGTCAGGTGCTGCTGGAAAAGCGGGGAAGGATTCCCTCCGTCTACAGCAATTTTCCTTCCTTAAAGGGAGAATTACTATTTTACTTTTGCACTGTTTGTCTTAGGACATGAGACAGGTAGGTAAAATAAAATTTTGAGCTCTCTTTGCATCTTTCCCCAGACAGGAAGAGCTGCATGTAGCTCAAAAGCTTGTACCTTCTGCCAACAGCAGGTAGTCCACTACAAGGTATTGTTTCACTACATCATCTCTTGAAGTTGAAATGTTTAGAATAAATTCACTTGCATTTTTAAAATATTTTGTGTTATGTTTTCAGCGTGAGATGATTTCCATTTACTCCTTTATGTGTTCAAGATGGCAGTTATTTCACATTATTATCTTTAATGTCTGTTCTGCTGGAGGGTTTACTTCATGCCAGGTTGAGAACCCCTCTTGACTATAGTATCTTCCCACTTTTAAGGGCAATCCTACATCTAAGGCTTTGTCTGTATTGCTAACTGAATGACAAACATTTTTTTTGTCATTCACAGGTGCTTAACACCCACCCCCACGCAAAAGACAAAAGTTGTGCTATAGCAAGTGGCAAGGTAAACAGTGCATTGTTGGCAGGAGTGCAACCCCCACTTAGGCTACGTCTAGACTACAAGTCTCTTTCGAAAGAGGCTTTTTCAAAAGAGATTGTCTAGACAGCAACCAGTATTTTCAAAAAATAGAGCTGCTTTTTCAAAAGAGAGCACCAAGGCAGTCTGGATGCTCTCTTTCAATAAAGCACTGTTTGCATTGACTAACGCCTTTTTTTGAAAGAGCACTTTAAAAAAAAGGCATCATTCCTCGTAAAATGAGGTTTTCTGCAGTTGAAAAACCTACCGTGTCTTTCGATTTATTTTCGAAAGAATGTGGCAGCACTCTAGATTCAGGTGAAATTTTTTTGAAAAAAGGTTACTTTTTTCGGAAAAAACCCTGTAGTCTAGACACACCCTTATTGCGAGATGGGGTGGCATTTTATCAGCAATAGCACTTACACTGCCCAACTTTTAGGGTATGTCTTAATAGCACCAACACACAGCACTTACACTGCCCAACTTTTAGGGTATGTCTAGACTACATGTCTCTGCCAACAGAAACATGTAAACTAGGCTACGCGACATAGTCAAAGAAGCCGGGATTTAAATATCCCCGGCTTCATTAAAATAAATATGGCCACCGTGCTGTGCTGGCTCAGCTGATCATTGGCACAGCATGCGAGTCAAGACGCGGATCGATTGACAGGGGAAGCCTTTGTCGACTGCTCCTGTAAACCTTGTTTTACGAGGCATAAGGGAGCAGTTAACAAAGGCTTCCCCTGTCAATCGATCCGCGTCTTGACGCGCGCGCTGTGCCAACGATCAGCTGAGCCGGCACAGCACGGTGGCCATGTTTATTTTAATGAAGCCGGGGATATTTAAATCCCAGCTTCTTTGACTATGTCGCGTAGCCTAGTTTACACGCCTCTGTCGGCAGAGACATGTAGTCTAGACATACCCTTAGAGACATGGATGTGTCGACACGACCATGTTGCTAAAAGCTATGTAGTGTAGCAAAAGTCTAATTGTGCTGTTCCCTGACGTCTTGGCACACTTACCCTTACTGCTGCTGGGTATGTTGTTCTTTGTTTTGTCTATGATTGTAAGAGAGAATTTCTTTGCTTTTAACACCTCATTTATGTCTGTTTGGGGATGCATCTAAGTAATTGTCTATGTAACACATAAGCTCTAAGTAACCATTTGTGCGTGCATGAAGATTGTTTTCTTGTGCAATAAGATCTGAAATCTAACATGATGACTATTTGCTCTTTCTGATATTAAACTTTCCAGAAATCTAGAGGGGAAAAAAAAACAAGTTGTGCTGACAGAGTTTGTACATTTTAGGGTATGTGATTTGTTTTATTTGATTGTTGTATAGTTTAATACACAAAATCCTCAGACATTTTCAAATGACTACACTAGAAAATGAATGCATGATTTTAATTTAGCATTTTTGATTGGGACACACTAGATTCTCCTCCTGCTGTGATTTGTTACATGACTGGATCTACCTATTACACACTTAAAGCTATAAATCATAGTGATCAGCTAATCAAAATAAAGGCTGAAGGGCTCAAAGTTTGCATGAATAAGGACTTCAGCCTCATTGGTTGTATAAAATGGGAGAGAAGAAGAACATTGTTTGGATTCTGATTCCAGTAGATTTGTGAAATTTGAGGGGGAAGAGGGTGTTAAAATGTACAGGAAGGAAAGAAGCACATGGGCCTATACTTTCCAACAAAACAGCATTTTTTTTCTTTTTCACTTACAGCATAAAAGTAATAAGAATCAGCTGGGTAGAGCTAACTTGTGATAAAAGGCTCATTAAAAGCTTCTGCTATGATAACTCTTGTGTGAAATGGTGACTTCATGCTGAGAACAGCTTACTGGAACTCCTCCTAGTTCTACTCTGCTGTCAGAAATCTCTTTTACCTCATTGTGTGGACTTGCCTCCTGCAGTCTATGTGGGTCCCAGTTTGAGTCTCATCTGTAATGGTGTGATTGTCACACTCACAGCAAGTTCAGCCACAATGAAGGACTACAATAATTGGTTAAGTCAGCTCTGAGTGTTCCATCCCCTGTCGGCAAATACAACAGACCTAAAATTTAAATAGCAGCACAAAGAGAAGTTTATTCTTTGATTTGCTCAGTCAGCACAATTCACTGTAGCCAATGGGCCTTCTCCTCCTTGAAAGGAAGTTGCATCTCAATATTTTCCCCACTAGATAAATATAACTACTAGTGTGGATTTTAATTGGGTTTCATCATTTTTATATAGGCTGTATGTATAATTTCTGTAATGCAGGTCTATTACAGATGAATTAGACTCAAAATATTCTGTGAGATTTGAGCTGGAAAATTATGGTGTGTGCATTGTGGGTTCTGTAGCAGGGGGAATGAGGGTGGATATATGCTCCCCAACTTTTGCCCCTCCACCTGTAATGGTTCCCCGAATTTTGTCTGGGTGGCCCAACTTTGTTGCTGGTTGTTAGCAGTTTTTTATCTCCAGCAGCTGCTCCTGTCCTATTCTGCCATGGTGCCATTGCAATTTACAGATGTGGGGGTGCTGAACAGAAACAGCAGCTGCCTCAGCTCAGCTCAGCTCAGAGCCCATCATGGTAAGCTAGGTTCCAGGGTTCCCTTCAGCCCATGAGACAACAGGAGGCCAAGAGAAATAATTTTGGTTCTGCCCCACACCTAGGAGACAGCAGCACAAGTTGCCCCCTGCACTCCAGGCCAGCAGAGGAAGCTCAGGTGGTGAGGCAAGGCAAAAAAAAATCAGGAAAAGAAGGTGTCTCTTGGTGGACAAGGCCAGGAGAGGAAGATTTTGGGTGTGGAATGTCTCCTGAGGTCAGGGAGGGGAGGAGAGACACATTTTGGAATCAGAGGCTATTTTGTATCTGAGGGTGATAAAGGGGGGATGGGGAGATTTAGAAAGTTCTTGCAAGCTGACATTAGGAGGCAGAATGAGTGCTGGAGGTGTGAAAGGGGGTTGCTAGTCACCAAATGGGTTAAGGTGGCAGAGATCTGAGGGGAAGAAGTTTCAGATAGATGCAGACTCAACTAGAAGGCAACATGGGAGGGCAAAGAGAGCTCCCAAAAGCTAGATATAGGAAGGCAGGACAGAATTCCTAGGAAAGGAGAAATACCTTGTTTCCTCAGGAAGTGAGCCTGAGAATAGGGTTCATAAAAATGAGAAGGAGGAGGCAGAAATGGATGTTTCTAGGGATAGGGGAAAATAATAGCAGGAATTTATAATTTCCAGATTCAATAAATGAAAATAATAGAGACCTATATAAAAGATTAATATGATTATTAATATTACTGCCTTCAAAAAGGAAGCCACTAGTCCTCGCAACTGAAATTTAGCTTAAGGACATTAAGTAGGAGCTGCTTTTTAAACTCCTAGTTCAGTTTAAGCACTTGAGGAAAATGAGACAGGAGGAGGAAAAGAGCAATGGAGTGGCAACTGGAAGGGGGCAGGAGAAGAAATGGCAACTGTAAATTAGCCTTGTCCTCTGCTCTGCAAGACATCAGTATTACAATAAACAGCTGCCTGGTAGGGGCTGCAATGTATGATTGTGTCTAAAGAACTCTACTTTTTGGGAAGTGCTTGATGAGAGATCAGCATCTGTGGAAGATGGAATAAAGCATGAATGTTGCACTGTCCGCTCTTTCTCTCTCGTTTTATGCTAGAACACTGAACAAGCACTGCTTTCTGCAGCCGTTCACGGATGAAAACCCACTTTCAGGTTTCACTTTCTATTGAAAAACTAAATTAGAAGTCTAATTTAGTTTAGCCAATAGAAAATGAGTCTTGTTGAACCATGAACTGTCACAGAAAAGGCAGACAAGCTCATGGGGAACAAGGCGAAGGAGAATGCAATTTCTACATGCAGGGAACTTATAAAAACCATGAATGATTTTTAAAAGTCTAGTGTGATAATGCATACACTCAAAATACCAGTTAAATGATGTTAACTTGTTACCCACTAGTTTTTAGAATATTTGTACTAGGTACTACTTTTGGGGCAATACCTTGCATAATCTTCCTCCTCCCACCCTGCCATAAGAAGATTTAATACAGGTGTTTTTAAATTAAATTTTAAATAGCGATGGTATAACCTGAAGGCATTTTAGAGCGTGCATTACTAGTGAACTTCTAGGGTTGTTGAAGGCTCTCTGAACAATACACCCAAACCAAGCACTTCTTCAGTCTAATACAGTAAAATGCCCCCTTTGTGTTGTGTATTTCAGGTGACACTGGTAAGAAATACATAAGCATGTTTGAAATACAGTGATTAGGGAACATACATACTTCCTACACAGAATTTAGCCTACCATTGGCAAGATATTCTACCTGGCTGTAATTCACTTCAGTGAGGATTACAAGGTTTATGTACCCACCAAAATAAATCTTAAATAAGATTTAAGTACAGCTGGTCCCCGAGTTGTGAACAGTTTATTTACAACCGTTTGCATTTACGACCAAAACTCCCATTGAGCGGTTGTAAAGGCGGTCCCCGAGTTATGAACATGACCCACACTCACGAACAGCATGGTCACAATGTAACTCAATGGGGTCCGAGTTACAAACATTTCGAGTTACGGCCAAGTGTTTG